ACGTAATGTAACCCCAGATTCTATGAGTGTAAGCGCAGCCCTCTAAGGATCGGGGCCTCACCGGCTTCCGTAGCTGAAGAAAAAGTAAGCTATCGGGAGCTGAACTCAGGTCCGTCCTCCCCTTTTATACGGACCTAGGTGAGGCCCACGTCACGTGGGCGTAGACTATTGGTCTTCAGAATGCGCGTACGCGCACGGGGGTACCCATCTGCGATAGCCTTAGAGGGCGGAGCTTACACGAAATAGAACACTAACTGAGAGGAGAGAAGTACCGAGCCGAATGAGACGACTGTAAATGAGAGCTGCTGCTTTGTCAGACAAATTTATTTTATTAATATTTTTTTTATTAATAATTTATTTCAAACATGGAAAACAAAATAAAACAATGCCATGAGGAAGTTCAGCTTAAAGACACGTCCCAGAGGTGTTTCTGGTCCCAAAAGGCGTTTCTGGTCCCCACCTGTCGTTTTGCTCCTCAGCTTGGCTTCCTAAAAACACTGCAGGATTTCTCAAACGGATGAATGAGTCAGAGCAAGGCTTTGGGCATGTTTTTTATGAGAGTATAACATTATAACATGATATAAAACTCAAAAAAGTTGATTTTACATGATATCGCCCCTTTAAGAGTGTCTCCAGTTGAGTTGATCTTCGCTGATGCATCACACCATTTTTGGTAGTGCTTAAACCAACTATAGTTTTGAGAAAGTGTTAAGAAGCATATTACTTACCTTATCTTTGATATTTTGTTGTTGAAGGTTTGTGCCACAGTGCTGTCTGGATTTTTTTGCCCACCCAGGATTGTTGCAACCACAACAAGGAACCATTCTGTGAACTTTGAAGAAATCAAGAACCTGGCCACTCTGCCTTAAGATATTTACCACTCTGTTGGATCATCCTCTCTACCAGGACTAACTCGGCCATGGGAACCTGTAAGAAACGAAAAAGTATTTTTCACAATACAAACTGTTTGAATTATTCCTGTTAACGAAAACTCAATTGGACTTGTTCTCTTTTCACAGATCTGACAGAGTTCCCTTGTTCCACACCTGTAAATAAAATCACTTACCTTTTTCATCCACCTTCTATGTTTTGGTCACTCAGTTCCACTCTACTTCCTGACTTCCTGACTTTGTCATTTACTGTATGTATTTAGGATGACTTAAAGTAGGGGTGGCCTTTGTCGGCCACTGTTTTGCTCCAACACACCTGGTTTTACAGAAAATGGATGGATGGATGGATGGATGAATGAATGAATGAATGAATGAATTGAATTTCAGTAAATGGGTGACGATCAAGCTTCTGCAGAACTTAATCACTGAATCAAGTGTGATGGAGCAGGGGAACAAGTAAACCATGCAGGACAGTAGCCCCCAAGGACCAGGATTGCTTACTCCTGACTTATATCATCTACTGAATCAAACTATATCTCAATACCTAAAAATGGAGTTACCCATTTTTGTTTTTGCTAAAGGATGTTGAACCTTTCTATCAAAATTTCTTATCCCCCCCCACAATGATTTAAACATCACTTGTAGTTTTTCTGTCTAATGTACAAAGTAAAAACAGGAATTATCTAACAACAGTTGATCAGTTGCCCCATGGTTAGAGTTCTATCTATACAAACCAATACAAAGTTGTTCAGATCCAATCTATGAGTATTTTAACAGGAGTAGGCACTTTGGAACAACAACACGTATTCCAGTGGAACACAGGGAGTGTGTAAACGGTTATATGAAGATGAGCAAAGTTTTATGTACGATGTTCATTTCAAGGTCTTTAGATCTCAATGACAAGAAGTGTCAGAGCAGTTACGCTGCATGTAAATGCCCAGTGAGACAATTTAATTGCTCTCTTGATTACAACTTTCTTTAAGAGCAGAATTACTTGGCAGATGGGTCTGATTTGCAACATGTATTTATATATATAAAAAGAAAAGATGGCCCTGTTCACACAAAGAAAATAAAATGGGATAATTTATATTAATGTGTCTTTTTTTCCTTGCGTTACACCAACTAAACACTTAATCATGGCTCTATCTATCTTTGGTGCTACAAATCTTTCTTTACTGTAATGGACGCCTTGGTCATTAAAATGTGCAGCAAATCACTTTACTGTTTATCATAAAAGTGTCACATGAAACATCAGAGCCGTTAAAAGTAGTGGGAAGAGTGCCAAATCTCATATAGGTACAATAAAACATTCAGAAATATGCTTTATATTGCTGGCATTTACTGCATCAATAAACTCCCATGAATGACAAATGTGTGATGACGGGTGAAAACATTAGCATGAAAAATGCTGCTACAAAAACAATCTATGTACGGATAATTGTAAAAGAAAAAAGAAAAGGCTCAAACAACAGATGTCTCTTTCCTGAGATGGAAAGCCTCATGGCAATGATAATAAAGGAAAACCTTGACAAATAACACATTTGTGGTTAGTTTCTGTTGCCTGCTGGAAGTTTCCATATGTAGTGATGAAAATGAAATGAAACTGCTCATGTTAAAAGGCCTTGTGATTGTTTTACAGTGATTACAATATCAGATCAGACAGATAACAGTATGGGCACATTGCCTGAACTGGGGTTATCTTGTTGAAAGAGTGAATCAGGGTTTAGTCTGAGGAGGAATAATACACTGCTCAAAAAAATAAATAAATAAAGGGAACACTTAAACAACGCACGCTAACTCCCGATCTTCATCAATGAAATATTCACATTGAGTACTTTGTTCTGTACAGAGTTGAATGTGCTTCACAGAAGTTTGATTTACTTGGACTTAGCGTGCGTTGTTTAAGTGTTCCCTTTATTTTTTTTGAGCAGTGTACATTCAGATGAAGGATACCACTGATGTAACTCTGAAACATCAGGGTTCCTGAATCAGTACTAGATGTAAGCTAAAGACATACCGTATGTTGTAAAGCAGGGGTCACCAAACTTTTTGAGACTGAGAGCTACTTTTGGGGTACCGAGTAACACGAAGGGCTACGTCTTCGATACAAACATAAATTGGCATGACTCACCATATATATATATATA